TAGTCGTACCACCCCGCTCTCCACCATGTACCATATTTTAGATGGTAGAGTGCTTGCTCTCGGAGAGAAGGAAAGGAAAGGAAAGGAATCGTATACTACATGGTGGAGGGTCTCATGCCCCTCCTACACCCCTCCCCTCCTCCGGTACCCCTAATATACGGGGATTGGGGGGGCCCTCGTACTGGCCCCACTAAGAGTGGGGTGAGGGTGTCCGCGGGATAGAGCTGTGCCCTCCGAGAGAGATCTGAGTGTGGCGACAGCATGATAAATTTAAATAATAATTATTGCGGGTGAAGTCTGTCTGCGACAGATGTTTTCTATGGCGTGCATAACTTTTTAGGAGAATTCTATTTAGTTTCCGCTGCATTATTTTTACTAATCTTTTTTATTTTACCTCAGAGTGAGAGTGAGAGTGATATAAAAAAATTAACCATCACTTTAATTATATTAACTATAGTAATTTTAGGGACGACCCAAATAAATTGCCCGCAAGGCTGTCTTGACACCACCTGTCTTCAGAGATGGTGATCTATGGGGATGCCATCCGGCGAGAGCATGCCCCCACTGAAAGTGGATATTTTAATTTTAGGTGTAAAAATAATAACACTACTAGGTTTACTTTTTGTCTTAATCTTATGGAATGAAAACCCCCCGTCGGAAAGAGGGGGGCACGAAGACATCCCTCAGGGACTCGGTCACCATAAGGGAGGGATTTTAATTTTATTATTAGGTACAACTGGTGTACTCTTATTAGTTGGGGCTAATGATTTATTAACGATTTATTTAGCAATGGAATTACAAGCTTTATCTTTTTATAGTTTAGCTGCTATGAAAAGAGAAGAAGAAGGTAGTTTAGAAGGAGGATTAAAATATTTTGTATTGGGTGCATTATCTTCAGGTATTTTTTTATTTGGTGCTTCTTTGATTTATGGAAGTACAGGATTAACAAACATCGATTCACTAAAAGAAATAGCTCTTTTTAGTTGAGGTGGAGGAGAAAATCTAAATAGTTGGCCCTCTCGGGACCCTGCGGGGTCATTAGCTGTAGGAAGTATTTTAATTTTTATAGCTTTAGTTTTTAAAGTAGGAGGAGCACCTTTTCATATGTGACTACCCGATGTCTATCAAGGTTCGCCTACTATAATCACCGCCTTTTTTGCAATTGTACCAAAATTAGCTATTTTAACTTTAATGTTACGGTTAGTTTTTTTAGACCCATTAAATAATTATTTAGGATATTATTTTGGTGTTTGTGCTATTTTAAGTATGATTATTGGATCTCTTGGCGCCTTAAACCAATCTTTAATCAAAAGATTATTTGCCTATAGTGCAATTAGTCACGTCGGTTATGTTTTTATTAGCTTTTTATCCGGGGTTGAAAGACAAACTGCATCCGCTTTAATTTTATACATGATTATATATATGATTACCTCTGTGGCCTTATTTGCTCTGATTTTAAGTTTAAAAAAACAATTAAATTCCAAACCCTTAAATTATATTATTGAATTATACGGTTTATCCCGAGCACAACCTCTTCTTACTATTAGTTTAGCTTTTATTGTTCTATCTTTAGCCGGAATACCACCATTAGCCGGCTTTTTCGCCAAGTGATTCATATTCACTGCTGCGATTAAAAATGGATGATACATAATCGCCATTTTAGGTATTCTTACTTCTGTGGTTGCTTCTGTTTACTATTTAAAATTAATTTCTAAAATGTATATGGATGGCGGAGTAGAAAAAATAACACTCACTGAAGAGATCCAAAAAAACGGATATTCTAATCAAATGCTGTCGCCAGACGGCATCCACACCCAGATCTCTCCCAAGGGAGGGGTCGAGATTCTATTAGAAATTTTAAGTCCAATACAGAAGGTTGAGGTTTCTAAATCTATTGTATTAGGTGCCTCCTTGTACCATATTCTATTTTTATTGTTTGTTCCTAACTCTATTCTATTACTAACACAAGAATTGACTTTTACTTTTACAACTTTTTACTTTATTTGCAAGTGTCCCTAATCTCATTTTAATCTATTAAACTCTCAACGAGTGTGTCATACACAGGTATATAGCAACACCTGAGATTATACACTAGTGCTGCCTATCGTAGATCCGAAGGGATGGATCTTACAGTCTCTTTTCCCGAGGGATTGTAGAGGGCTCCCGAGGGATGGTGGATACTAGCCCAGCGTAGCAGGACCACAGAGGATACTCCATAACAATTGTACTACTACTCAATACACAAGCTTAGCTTACCTCAAGCCATTAGGATCCTAAATAATACCCTGTTCCCGTTGATTACAGATTGTAGACTCTCACAGACTTATACTTACTCCCTAACCACCCATCCCAATAACTAAGGAAGGGTACTCTAATCTCTTTGAACATACCATAGGCCATCCACCAGGGGAGTATCTAGATTTTCCCTAAGAGATAAGAATGAGGTTTTAATTTAGGGATGGGAGATAAAAAATGGTATTTTTTTAGACTGGGGCGGGGTGTCACAAAAGATAGGACACCAACGGAATCGAATCAGTCCCGTCTAAAATTACCATCGCCCACGGGGGTGGACCACACAATCAACCACAATATAAATTGGCAATAAGAGTATAGGGGGGGATCGAAGAAGCTATCCCTACGGGGACATGGTTTTCTTACTGGGTTTAAAATACCTTACATCTTAAAAATATAAAAAGGTCAACTTTCTACTACTTTATTTTTAAAATCATCTTGATATTCTAAAAAACTTTAAAATTGTTGGTCCAGTCATTTATCGACTTCTAGATTAGCCTATTGACTTATTGCCTGGCCAATTGATTCGCTAATTGCCTGGCTAATTCCTTCACTGATGGTTCTACCATGTACGGCCCCTCTTTTATTTTAGGGGCCGTAGGATAGTTTACATGGTGGAGGGCCTCGGGACCCTCCTACACCTTCGGTACCCCCGGGGATCCCTCGGGATGTTAGGTCCATCCCCATCCCTACGGATGCCTGCCTCTCCGATAGTTTATATTTTTATTTTTATTCAAGTATTGCGTGGTGGTTAATACAGGATTATGATAGTCTGAGTGGAATGTACTTTAAAATAAAGTATAAAAGGTAAAATGAAGATAGGATGATCTTTGTGCTAATTAAATTATGACTGAAGAGACGACCTAGGTATAAATTATTATATTACCCTACCGGTGCAGCATTGACTTGGAATCACGACATACAGACCAATATTCTAATAAGAGTATAGCATTACCCCAG